TCGCTGCCGACAGCATGGGACACCCAACTACTGCCCAGGTCCCAGCAGCAGCATGACTGAGAAAACTGGATGAAAAAAACCCTCAAACACGGCGTGTTTTTACCAATCCCCTCCTACCTCAGCTGACCCCCACACACCAAGAATGAGGGGATACCAGTAATGCTTTCTGAGACGTCGGCTTTCCATGTGCTCTGCAGCCTATCCGAATCCTATGGCAACTCACTCTGTTCGATGTAGGGCTGCGGAGATGCCACAGACAGGCTGCCATGGAAACAGTTGTTTTCATTTACTGCTGTCCTGCACGATAAGAAAGTCTGAGCAATAGAAGAACGAAGAAAGAGCATAAATTACCAATGGGCTCAGACAGCTCAGCCTTTGAAAATGTAATCTAATTATTTTACCATTTATTTAGACAGATTATGTTATAGCTTTCTGATCTCACTTTGTGATTAATAACACGTATATGTTTAGAGCAGAAACGACGAAGGCAAATTCCAACCTGTTTTAGGAGGACACTTCAAATTAGGCTACATTTAAGGGAGAGGATGACAGCTGGTTCCACTTTCAATTAAAATGCAGTAGTCTAGATAACAGAAAAATGAGACGGGGCAGAGAGGGAAGAGGAGGGAAATAAATTCTAGAAATAGCGTAATTGTACTACACCGCTTGAAAACCCCTACTTAAAGTGGGAGGAACCCAGAAATAAGTTATTTCTGCTTGTTTTCTTGTATCTTAGGAAAAACCTGAACTAGTGCGTTCACTGTCTTTTTTTAAGGTTATTCAAAATCAATTTGCAGTCTTGGATCTCGCTTCATCTTTGGTTCTTCAAACCAACAAATGCAAAGCACTGGTCTAGCTTGCTTAACAGAGAAGTCTTCAGCACCCTCTTTGCAGTGCAGTTTTGGCCGCAGCTGTGGACTTGGCTGCTTTTGACAAAAAAGCATTTCTGGTCCTGATGCTGGCTAGGAGAGGACAACGAAGAGCCCAAGGAGAACCGCTTCCAGCAGGGGTGGACATCTAGGTGGAAATCACCACCCAGCATCCATCTGAGCAGACTGTGTCAACTCCTGTGACTGAGCGCCCATTAGAAACCTCCAGCTTCTTCATGACATGGGAGAACCACGCAGCCACCCTGAGGCTGTTTTTCTTTGACGGAGTATCAGGGACAACATCAGCATATAGCAAATATTCGGCTCCAAAAGCCAACAGCTGTCCCTGGACAGGCGAAGCACCATCCCACCTCTGAAAGCAAACACCCCTCTTAAATAAGCCCGCGGCTACCATCTGTAGGCTCCCAGACGAGAGCGGCAGTGGAGGTACAGATGGTAACGCTTCTGGTTTATGGTTTTGGAGAAGGATTAATGAACAGGTTGGGTTACCTACTTAACCTGGTTTTGGCTTGTAATGTCGTACTGCATGAAAGACTTTCTGGGTCAGGATAGATAAAACACACAGGCAGTAACACTGCGGGGCCTCAGGAGAAAGCTTCTACTTGGCATTTGCTTAAGATCCTTTCACCAAATAGATACCACACTAGATGAACCGTTGTTAACCTCAGCTTCGAAGTTACCTCCACTACATTTTCCCCTGTAGATATATCTTATACAATATGAAAAACTCCTGGTGTCACAAATGCAAAATACTGGGCATGAGAGAGACTGAAAGATACAGCAGAAGGCAATGAAGATGCTCGGCATTAAATATGGAATGAGAAAGAAGGGCTTCTGAAACTAAGGCCACCAAGGGGATAATGGATTAACCCAACCCGCCTCAGAAGCATCTCAATCTGTGAGTACACGCAATTTCAGCTGTCAGGTCATTAACTGGATGAACACATAATTGATAAGCTGCAGGTTGCGCTCTGCTTGAAAGCAATAAGCTCCTTTAAATTATATTAATAATTAACGTATATAAAAGCATTTGTCATTTGCAAAGCACTCTATAGAGTAACTGATGGATTCTATAACGATCCCCAACTTCCAGACTAGGGAATGCAATTCTAGAGGAATAAATACCTGGCCCACGTCCAAAGCAAGATTCACTGACAGAGCTATTATTCTAGCTCAGAATTAGGTTTCTAAGTTTCTGGTCCTTCTAGATCACACTGCTTTGTAGCCTTCAGTGGGTAGAAGCATGGCACACAGACAGAGCTGGAAGACAGAAGCTGACAACAGGGATGACATTTCTGACTCACATCCACCAATTGTCCCATCCCTACCCTGGGCCACCGTCCACACTGAAAGATGCAGTTAAGTGGGTTAAACACAAGGAATGGAAATATTAAATATTTGATTGCCATGTGTTGTCTGCCCCCCTCCCCTTTCTTTTACGGAATTAATCTTGGGGAATTTACTGACCTCCATAATTTGTTACGTCTTCCAGTATACTTTTTTTATATTTTCTTTTTCTCCCCCGAGTTTAAAGGGATATAGTAAGTTCCCTTGCAGGTGATCCTTAAAATATGATAGCATTTTTCTGAAATGTGACAGATTATTTCTCATGCTGCAGCACTGAGCTGCAGAACAGCCACAGAACTTTGTTATTACCCAAAATTACTGTAGGAGAACTTCACCTTCAGTCTCCTACATGGTTTCCTGAGATGTCTCCTGAGACAGATCCTCAGACTCCCTGCCCTGTTAACTCCCTTTGTATATACTTCTTCTCCCTGGGAGAAAAAGCACAGTGAAAGTCACATCATTTCTTTTGGCTGGACACAGCATCCTTTTGCTGTAGCTGAACTTTATGCACATGGAAAGTGGACTCCCCTGGGGATCTACCAAGTGTTTCCACGGGCCAGAGCGGGCTGTGGCAGACGTACCTTCAGTTGCATCCTCAATACACACAGTATCCTGACAATACCACCTGGGAAGGATGCAAAGTCTGGATAATCCATTTAAGGTATATAAATGCATTCGTCACTCCAGTTGTGCTTGTTCCCTGAAATGTATGTGCCTTCCAAACTGCTCCCTGAAATATTTGTGCCTCCTAACTAACTTCTGTTTCAATGCACCCAGTAGCCTGTTCATCATCATAGCTTTGTCATTTGAGGAATCATCCTTTTAGGAGCTCTATTCTCATCAATATTACATTCTGCCTAGGAAGTCTAACCATCTTAGAAGTAGATAAAGTGATTATTGATGACAGTCAATACAATTTCAAAATATTTCAGCAGTGTAAGTAGAAAAAATGCATAGAAAATTTATATTGGACATTATTCAAGAGCTATTCAGAACTTGCAAAGCAGAGAAATCTGACAAGCAATAAAACATGATGGCTTCTATATGCTAGCATTTCGACACTTCAACTCCAACAGAGTCCAAGTTTAGTGAAAAAGTGAAACTTCCTAAAAGAAAGTATTATTCACAGCATTTTTTCACATAAGTGGAAGTCTAACATAACAAATCTCCCCTTCCGCTCCATCTTATATTCTCATAAAGCTCAGCCTGCCAGACAAGATTTCCATAGAAATCCTATTTGGTAAAATTTGCTTGATTGTATTCCAAAAAGTGACTCACATTTTATAACCAAGTGGCAAAAGCTGAAACGAGTTCGACTCTTTTCTATCAAAGCCAGTATTAGTCATTCTTCCAGCTTAATGGTTCGCACGCTATTCTTGACAGACAAAACTGGGACCACAGGTCAAGAAATGACAATTTAATAGTCACAAAGTATGTGGCCAGATAGCTATTGCTAGTCTGGAGGAAACAACTCAGGACCTGGCCAGTGAAACTAAAAGATACTCGACAGCATGACTGCTATGTTGCGGTAAGAGTAATAAAATCACAGCTCCTGTGTCAGCATAGAAAAACTTGTCCCAAACTGTAAAGGTTAAATAAAAATCATAAAGTTCCTCCTCACCTGCCACTCTCCAAAGCACTTAAAACAAGAGCAGGTGGAGAATGCAAGGGCTGAGCGCAATCTGACTGTAAGGACTCCAGGATCTGGCTCCCAGTCAGATACTGCGTTCCTCTGCCCTCTCTCCTTCTTCATGTTCCTGCGGGTTCCCCTTTCAAGCCTGCAGACTATCCCACCTCTACCTTTATACTCTTCTGTCCTCCCCAGGTGGCTTTTCTTCTCTGCTGCACCCTGTGGTTGCCCGAAGGAGGGCTGGCTTTGCCGAGCGCTCCAACGCACACCCTTCCCCTCCCGGCTGCTGCTTGCGGCCTCCTGACCTAAAGCTGGCTCAGGACAAGCTGGTCCACTGTCCAAAGACCACCTCAGTGACATGGCTGGAAAGGCTGAATGGAGAAACGGGTCCACTCTGAGATGCTGAATTTGCTCATGCCCACCATGAGATGCTGAATTCGCTTTGCTTCTCCACGGCCTTCTGGAGGTGAAGGCAAGGCATCCTCTTAGCATGGGTCTGCCTGCAGGCACAGACCGCTTCCTAAGTGACAGTGCAGCAAAGAGCATCCCTCCCAAAAGTAGGCTCCTTACAAAATCCCAGCAGGGAAGGCAAGTTTCCTTACAGAAAACCACCAGCAACTTTCTGCCAGTAACGTTCAGACACAGTTACGATTCACAGACATCGTGGAGAAGCACGAAAAACTCACCACTCTCACTGCTATTTGCTCCCGACATTTCCCCTGCGTGTCTCTCATACCCCTGCTAATCTCACGATGGTCAGAATTACTGTTTGGACGGGGACTCAACATAAGTCTCGACTCAGCAGAGTACCAAGGAAAAGAGAAGCCCTATGGGATCAAATCCTTCTTTGTTTATGGGCTTTGCTGCCCATAATTCATTTTCTGCATTCTGTTGTGGCATGTGCTGGCATAAAATTAATCCAAAGTCTCCAGCTGTTCCAGGGACTGCTCACGATCCCTCACCCAGCTCAAATCTGTGCAACGTCTTCAACCTCCAGAGAAAACAACGGAAGCATCTCTGTGCTTGGCACTGGTGAAATATCAGGCCATTCATACTTTTGCTTACATTAGGAATCTAATTTCAAATATTTTCCTTCAGACAGAATGCAAAAAAGAAGACAAAATGCAATTTACCTCTACTTCACATGCATATTCTGATCCATCCAGGAGCGTCACTTTGCACTGCATGTTTTTCGGTTTCTTGACAATCTTTAGAGGAGACTTGGAAAGTTTGCTAGACGATGATTTTTGAGAGAGCTTGTCGTCCTCTAGCTGCTGGTATTCCAGCTGTTTTGCACTCGCAGCAGCAAACTCCTGTTCTTTGTCTGTGGCCTATAATGAGAAAGAAAGATACTTTTTTAAGTGAGGTAAACCGATCACGCAATGCAGTACACTATGCACCCTTCACCCAAGCATTTAAGTGAGCCTAGTGTGGGGCTTGCATGAGAAAGCCCCTGATGCAGGACAGAGTGTTCTTTATCAATTGAAAGGATTTCCTGTATTCCCCATATTCCTCCCAGCCCGCCCTTCTCACTCCAAAATGTACAGAGTACCCATGAAGGAGGGGCATGCAGGAAAATGCTTTAGGCTTCTACTTTTTCCATAGGTACAAAATCCCACTTGGACCTCTTTTTTTGGTCTGTTGGAAATGCTGAACAATTGGTAAACTTTGTGATGAACAGATATTCCTACAGTTTCTTGATATTACTTTTAAGTCCTGTACCTGTTAAATCGTATGATGCTTCCATGGCGTCACACGGAAGCATGGTTTGCAGTAATTTCGCTGTCAGTGAGAAAACAGTCCCCTGAATGAGGGGACGAACCCACCCACGACATTGTGAATTCGCAGGCGGATGCTGACATGCCTGGGAGAGCGAAAGGCTCCCCAAGTGCCCGAGCAAAGGGTTAAACAAATAGGATGGAAGTGAGGGGCCAAAGGACTTTTGTGTGCAGCTGCCTGGCTAATGGATGATAACTACGGGATGGGAGGCTGAATTTTGCTCTTCACAGATGCCCGATAAGCCCCTCAAGCTGCCGAGAAGTAGGTGCTCTTTGAAAGACAAATATACTGCAGGGGAAAGGGGAGAGAAGAAACAAGCGTGGTTACTTTTGCTTGGGTTTATCTGAGGGTCAGACCATTTGAAGAGTTACCGCGACGCAGCACAGCCCGCGGTCCTCTCCTCGGCACCAGATGAAAGCCAGAACAGCTCTACAGCATTTCACCCTTCCTAGCAACAGCACTATGCCGCAGTCATTACCCTTCTCATCAGTTATGCCCCTGATAGTCTCCAAACAAAACCTCAACAGGACTGCAGTAATACCCAAGCTAAGGCTTAAATGAAATTTAAAAAAAAAAACAAACAAACAAAAAAAAAAAAAATCTTTCTGTTATCTCACTACAAGGAAAAAAAAAAACCACAACTGTTTTGGCTCTGAATGATTTCAGTGTAATAAGCAACAAGCATCGCTGGAAATATATTGTAAATTGATCCTCCAAGTCTGTTTTCATTCATTGCACATAATAAACCTTCATGAAAATGGAGCAAATCTGTCCAAAAGTTTAATCTGCTTTGAGACCAGAACAACCTTGCATCGTACAACCAGCAACAACAGTGTACCGCTAAATCACAGGGAACTTTCCCCGAGAGATTTCATACAAACAAGCCATAAGCTTCCCCTCTGCCTTTGGGTGAATAGGGGAAAGAGGAACTTGGAATCGGCCCTGCTACCAACAGCACCAGCTCCCACCAAAGCCCCAGCAAACTGCAAAGAGGCAACTGCCAAGAGGTGAGGCAAGACCCACGCTCCTCCTTTCCCTGCGAGACAGGACACAGCAAACTTCTCCTGGGCTTCCCTGGGTGGGGAGACTAGGAGAAAGTGGGACTAGAAAGATAAAAAAGCAACACAAAAGCTGCCTGCAAAATCCGCCTCATCCCCTGAGCCGTGGATGTTCTTCCCCAGGAGCGGCCCAGCGCCAGCCGGCTCTTCCCCCATCGAGCTCCAGCACCAGAGGACTTTCTCCTTCCAGCACTTGGACACCAGCTCTGTGCCTGGTCGTCAAGGTCCTCGCATACCTTGAAGGCTGGCGGGAGATGAAAGCACAGCCTATGTCAGTGGATTAGCTGTTCGCCGAGCATTTAATGCTCACAGTGGCTGTGACAAAGGGGGAGAGTCCCTCCAGGCTCAGAGCAAGGCTTGAGGCCAGCTACCTCTACCACAACCGCGGCCAGCTGGCAAGTGGTCCAACCTGCTGCACCGAGAGAAAAACAAGACTGAAGATGTCTCCTGCTAGGGCCTCCGTGAAGAGCTGTGCTGCTGCTGATGGGCAGAGGGGCTCTTTGATGACTTCCCTACGTTTTGTTAAAGAAATCTGCCAGGGAAGGTGCACATGCACATGTGTGGGTGCAAAAGTCCTTCCAGGGCTGGAAAAAATATACCGTCATACCCGGTGGCTCATTAGATTTCTCATGGCAGTGAGAGTTAACACCCCGCCCCAACAAAGAACAACCAACAAAAAAAACCAGATGTATGGAATTTATCTTTTTCAAGAAAAAGGCGAAGCTGCTTGAGAGAAAAGCCCACAACAACAACGGCACCCAGCAACCATTTAAATTTTAGAACCACCTTCAGCTTGCAAACAATTTCTGTGAATCCTAATGGATTGGTGACTTTTTTCCTTCATGAAGACACTCGGTACCTCAAGACTACAGCAGATATTTGCTTATTTATAAGCATTTTTTAAAAAAATAGTATTGAGGTTATTTTGTTTGTTAAAGTTCCCGTCCACATTAAGGTCAGGGGAATGTGTCTAGGTTAAAGTCACACAAAGGATTTTCTCTCATTTTTCTGGAGAACAAAACATGCCAAGAACTATTAGAGAAGATCCCCCAAACTATGCTGACATGTTCAGGCATTGAGGTACTTTCAGACTGTATTAAGCCTCATCTTCCTAAAGAAACCTGACATCCTGGTAGCTCAGGAAAAAAAAAAAAGGGACCAGTGAAAAACCCATGTACTCAGTGAATTATTTTGAACTCTGCAAGCATAGTTGCATTTTCTCCTAAATTCTTCTGAAGAATATTGTGCTGTATTTCTGTGCAGTATTTTCAGTGTTACAGATTCAATTCTAGTGCAGCACAAGTTGCTTCAGGGTTTGTGTTTTTTTAACACAAGCTGTCTCATGTCTATCTATATTACTGTACCTTACTATGACACAGTATGTTCAACCCTTTCTGAAGCGGGACCCCCCTCTCAAAGCAAGCCTTTGAAGTCACAGGATTCAGCAGTAATGATCTTTGATGCTTCACAGCTTCTCATTGGGATATGAAGTGATATTACCAGCTTGCACAATGCATGAATCCCATCTACTTACGGTAGTTGCTCAGAAATGTCAGCGCCCAACCCGTGCGATGCCTTCGTGCTCATTTTCAATGAGATAGGAAGGCAGGAAGATAGTAAGATTGCATTATTATACCTGATAGAAAGGACTCATTTCTGTAGCAACTGTTAATCTCAACACGAAGAAGCCTTTCTGTCTTCATTAAAATGTTCTTTTTCATGTATATTGAATAACAACAAAAAGTCACCCTCATGGATCGGTAACTTAAATCTTTCTTCCCAAGGTTTTCTCATACGAGCGGTAGCAAAAACCATCAACTTCCTCACTGCGATCACAGACGGCAAGAAAGAGAATGATACCCATTCCTCCTTCAATTTTCGGCTTTTTTAATGACAACCATAGCTGCCTCTTAGTGCTGTTGTTTAAGTGGTTTCCTGTGATACAGACATTTAAGCCACTACAAAATGCAGATCACTGCAGCTGGATCTGGCAGTCAGCTTACAACAGGGAAAGGAAGGGACCACACAGCATGTGAGCGCATCCCAGGTCTCCAACTCACACGTCCGTAAACACAGATAGACAGGCTTGGTGCCTAAGGGATTTTTTTGTTGTTGTGGTGGTTTTGGGGTTTGTTTTGTTTTGTTTAAGATGAAAAGAAACTTGGGGCAGAAAGATTGCTGAAGATGTCTGGAAGAATAAAATTAGTAATACTTATGCCTAGGCCTGATAGAATTATATTTTAAATTAATGACCAGCTTGTGCAGCACCTTTCTCTTTTGGAGAAGCAGCCCTGCCTCTTTTCCCCAAACTAACTACACGCAATTTCTGATCTATTTCAGAGACCAAAATTGTCCTAACACATAATCAGTGGATGTGTGAGCAAGAGCAGAGAGGTCTTTGGTGGGCACGGAGTCAGTCTGATCAGGGTTTATCAACGATAAAAATGGTTAGCAATCAAAAAAATAAGCAGTTCTTCCAATGATTGATCTTCAATAGCAATAAACATCAGAAATCCTGCCCTGCTATGTCCACCTCTTGAGATATTAGAAGTCAGACATAAGACACCTCTTTTAATTTGGTCCCAAAAACATTTGTTGTCCCAAGCATTTAGGTAATGCACCCATAAACCAGGAAGACTCAAAAATACTTTGTTTGTATCTGAAATTGCTTACACCCCCATTTTTTCTCCACCAACAGCAAGTTTGGGCTGTAGCTCTGTGGACAAAAGCTTAAAAACTAGACCACAGCCAGCCCCAAACAGCTTCTATGGGAGCACTCACGTTGATTTTAAGTAACACCTTACAACTGCTTGCTTCACCAGCACTGTCTCCCAACTACGTAAAATGACAGGACCTTACTTCAAACAATCTGATTTTTTTAAAGGGTGGAGGAGAGGAGGAGTTACACTGACTTACTTCACTCTTCAAAGGTGAATGCGATCAGATGGGGGTCATAACCTTATGGAGCTAAGGGATGCGATTTGCAGGTACCTCATTAATTGTGTGTCACTTACCCATGAAGAACAATGCCTGTTAATCCTATTGACTGGAAATTATTAACGGGAAAAAGAAAGCAGCTTCCGCAAATTTAATAAGTGCAACAATGAACCAAATGGAAAAGCATGCGATAGCTCTTCTGAAACCTATTACATGAAAAGTTAAAGTAATTATAATGCAGTCATTTCAGAACTACGAGAAGCTTAAGGGACCAGAGATTCTTCATGGCTCACACATCAGACAAGCAAGCATGAAATCAGTTTTCAGCAGGTGTCAAAGAAGAAGTGAACTCTGAAAACATTTTCAGCTTCTTAAAAATTGGCACTGTTTGCTATCTAATGCAAATGCAAGATCGAAGACGTTTCCTGCTTAGCTAATAAGACTGCCCTTATACTTAAGCACTGGGGGCACAAAGACCTGACATGAATTTCAAAACATTCTGCGTGAGAACTATTATTCTTTGAACGCAAAAGACCAAGCAGTCAAGATCTACAGCATCACACCAAACAGCCTTCCATGCGTATCTGAATATATATTTCTGCTCCTAACACACCAGGCTCATTATTTCCCAGGAGCAGTAAGTGGGCACGTAGCTAGTTGCATGCAGCGAGCACGCGTGCACGGGCTCCCTTACCTGCTCCTTTTTCACCGGCGTGCTGTGGGCTGCCACAGCCGAGAACTGCTCGAGCGCGTTTTGATGCTCTTCGCTCAGCTGCTGCTGCTGCTGCTGCTGCTGGTCCTGCGGCTGGGTCTCCGCCGCCCCTTGCTGCGCAGGGCTCTGCTGCTGATCCTGCTCTTTATCCTTGGACTCGGAGTCCGATCCTGATTCTGTAGTCATGGTTGGTTATTCTGTAAAACAAGGTGAGCAGACCTACTGAGTACGATCTTGTAGCCCTGAATTTGTAGGCTAGGCTTACAAAACGGAGAAACATCAGGCGCAAAGTTTTAGTCTTAATACGCCCCGGCCTTTAAAACTAAAGTGGCTATTACTGGCCCAACGAGGATCCCCAGGAGAGCTTCCCTGGTGCAAAAGACCAGGTCTAAATGCATCTGTACTCTGAGGAAGAGTGCGTTGCCGTAAAATCTTATTCTACATTATAATATACGGACATTATAGGAATCACATTGAAATCACATACAGACACACAGTTCTACATAGTTCATAATTCATAAAAGGAGAGTAACGCATTGAGAAAAGTTCGTGTGATTGAGGGCCCTAAATCCAACACAATTCACTGCAGTTTGGGTTTCTAAACCATGTGGAAACTTTTGAAAACATTAAATCTTTTGTTCTATACATTTAAGGCAACAGGGCTTGAACTCCTCAACACGTGCACTCCCTTTTGGAAATGGACTCAAGTACTTTTGCTGCTTCCAGGCAACATAGACACTAGAAACATCTGAAGTGGGCCCACCAACATCAGTGCAGATGCACAACTGTCCTTAAGCACAGCTCTGCCCTTCCCGCTTGAATTCACCCACACTTCTGTCATTTCTTTCTAAGTGCTGGAGCATCCAAAAGAAAAGATAAATACTTCCATTAAGTCATTCTAAGTGTTAGATTTAAAATAAACTGAATATACCTTTCCTTGAATGTGAAAAGGCTGTTTGAACTTAACTTTGTCCAGTACTAAATCAAAGTGAAAATACTAGCAAAATTCATTCAAAATCTTAACTATTTCAATTAGTTTCATTACAAATATGTGGTTGGCACCCAATTCTCAAACTATATATAGAAGCAAACCCCAACTTTAAAAAATACTGTGATTTTGTATCAAAACAAGGATTTGAAAAAGCAGACTCTGTGCCAGTTCAGCAAATAGAGCCTGCTCTTACGTTTGTTACTCGTACGCTCTTAGTCCTCGTGGTCTTATCCTTGCATTTGGCTTTTAAGCAACTCAAAACCAAACCAGTCTGCTACAATCTGTTTCTGTTCATCATCAGGCCATGATTTCTTTAACCTGGTAACCATAGCTACAATGTAATTATAGGCAGTTCCACAGAATATACATCTGCTAATTCATCTGCTAGGAAGTCACTGTCAACTCTTAACATACACTACGATGTTTACTAGTAGAAGCAGGTTTATTAAAGATCACAAAAAAAGTACAGGCCTTTTTTTTTTTTTTTTAAACTTAAATGTTTAATAAGCTACATTGCTTGACAGAAAATGTCTTAAACGAGGCCAGTTACTATTTTCAAACTCATTTATGCATTCTGCACTTTCAAGGCTAAGTCCTCCAGCGAATACCTGTCCCTGTACAGCAAGGACGCGCCCAGCATTCAGCCTGTGCTCAGCTTTTGCACTGCGTGTGAGGGCGGGGGTGCACGTTCCCACCTCCTGCATGCCGAAACAGCACGAGAGAGCAGCAGAACCAGAAGGCATACAGGGCAGATTTACGCTTCAGGCCACATTTTCAAAGTACTAACGTGCGACACACTTGCTTAGGAATACATCATAGATTTCTACACTCGAACTGGCACAGTTGTATCAAAAATACCTTTTAAAACGTATTGTCTAACAAATTGTCTTTAGCATCTACAAAAAGCAATAATTAACTCATGTCTTTTAAAATGTGACAGCCAGAAAGGCATTCATCTAATCAAACTTCAGATGTCCACATCTGAGATGGTCACTTTAAACACGGAGCAGAAAACCAGGCGTTTCAGAGAGCGATTCATCTGACCTATTTTAGATGCCGTTTTTAAGCTGAGATAAATCACATACTAGCGCGACTTCGTCCGACTTGCCACGAAGGAAACTTAAACAAGCTCCTCCGATGTAGATCAAACAAACCCATCCTCCATTTTCAATTCTATTAAGCCACTCTTTTTTGTACGCTTTAAAAATTAAATTGCAGAATAATGTTAATCTCTCAGAGTTTTGTTTTGCCCATCTGTCAGACCAACATGGAATAAACTATTCTTCATCTGATGCTGTTATGTTTGCCTTGCTTTAAAAGCACCCAGGTCTCCACAAAATTCCCAAGTTTTTCCCCCCTACTCTCAAATTCTGTACAAGTGTATGAAGATATTAAAAGTAAATCAATCAAACAATTACTTCAATAAAAACAAACTATGCATTTGATTTCATTTTCCAGAAACTACGAATTAGCAAGTAACAAAAAACTAACTTACAGCTACAAAATCATTAATAAAACAACTCCAAGCATAAATGATGAATACAAAGTGTTAGCATGGAAGCTGTTGCACAAAGTTGGTTTTTTTTTTTTTCTTTTTTTCCTATTGACATGACTTAGAGCAGTGTAAATAGAAAGCAGCTATGATACTTGCTCTCTTGAAACACAATCAACCCAAGTATATCTTGAGGCATTAATCCATATAGGATCAGATTGCCCGTCAATATGAATCAAAAGTCTGTCTTCCTTCAGCTGCCATCGCTGCGTCTCTGGAAGCTCATTTTTGCACCCTATACAGCTTCCTTCCTAATGAACATTTGTATTCTAGCTTTTCGTGAGCATGGAAACACAGCCATCAAATTAATCCCATGAAACTCAACTTCATGTAGCACGAACTGAAAACAAGTTTTACTTTTCTTGCCAGTTATAATTTTGCATCTCAAGGAACAACAGATGTGGTTCTTAACTTCTTCTGGGACATTTCCACACGAAGCAGAGCCTTACAATACTGAGAGTTACTCTCTGGGACCGGTTTCCTCTCCAGTTACACGTGAGTCCTCACTTGCTCTAAGAGTGCTTTGTTAGAAAACTTTTTGTGTGTTATCAAATCTTTTAGCATAAGCGATTCCCTGGATACAATATTCCTGTCATTAGTCAGACAGCAGATGGATTTAATTAACCCAAGGTTACCCATTTCCAAATGTCTTTTCCCTACACATACCAGTATGTTTAATAACAAATACTGAGAACAAAATACTATTGATTTCACACTGTTATCTTCCAGACATAAATAGAAGCAAAGCAAACACATTTTGAATCCAATTTCTTACAAACTCCTCCAATTATTGTGTTGTTAAGATTTATCTCATTCCATCTAGAGCAGGTTGAAAATACCTAAATTACAAGACAGAAAATAACATTTCTCTCTCAGTGCAAACCAATAGGTTGTTCTGCCTTCCTCAGCAAACAGCTGCTTATCTAAAAGAACTTTGAAAGCATTTCATTTTTTATAAATGGTACAACAATCCTCCTAGGAAGAGGTAGTTTCACTTATTGGAAGAAATAACAGCCATCTTAAGAAATTTAATGACATAAATATTACTCTACCTTTGTTTGTATGCAGCAAACCTGACAGAATAGCTAGTAGTGTCTATACATTTGTCAAACACATATCACTGGCTGGGAATTTCTTATTCTTATTTTATTAGTTTATTTACTATACCTGCTATGTACCAAAATCATGACTTCTAATGTGAATTTCAGTACAGGAAGAAAGAAATCACTGAAGTTCCTTAAACTTTTTCTGTTGCCAGCACAACCCCCATATCAAATTCCCCTTTCCAGCAAACAGAAAACAAACTAATGAAAAGAAACTAAGAGCACTATCTTATACAAATGAGGTAATACTATGCAAGCCAGATGTGCTCTTGGATAGCTAAGTTTTGGCTTACCACCGAATATTCAAAGATTACAAAAGAAGATTAGCTGAGTCCAAACTTAACACAGATGCTGCTAAGACTGGACAGTCTAAAGCTAAAGTCCATTTGGCTACAGAATTCAATCAGAATGAAAATCAAGTCTTTTAATTAAAGGAAAAAAAAAAAAAGCCAAGAACTAGCTAATTTTCATCTGCATTGACTACTTAAAAATTAAGTTAAAAATGTACGTACTTCCAGCAGTGTAAAGGTTTAAAATATAAGTGTTTGAGAGTGCTGCAGAAGAATAATTAAGGGAAGATAAACATTAATATACCGTCAAGCTATTAAAACACAACTTCAAAAAACTACATTACATATTTTAAAATATTTTTATTCGATCAAATCACAGAAAGAAATCTTTTCATACCCTTACACTATACAAAGTAAAGACATTACATATGGATTGCAAAACCTGCAAACCACTTGCGCAAGGCCTACATCCTAAAACCTTCCAACGCACCTAGTCCTTGTTACCTGCAGCTACCAACATATTGCAGCTCGGGAGATTACCATTTCCATTACCAATTACTTGCTATGGACTTAAAGCACATAATTTCCTTTTCTCTGTACGGGAACCAAAATCATGTTGTCCTCTATTAATAACTCTCTGAGCAGGCGAAGCCCAGGCTATGTCACCTGGTCCCCTGCAGCAACTGACAGTCACAATCTAGTGTATATATTCATACATTCAACAAGTTATTTGCCTCCCGTCCTCAAAGCACAGACCTTCTGGGTTGCATCTACTGAGCAACAAAATTCACAGTTAATTGACAGCAGAGTCCACAGTTCAATTAACCCAGCAGTCATTAATAAACCTTTATTTATATCTAAATACAAATGCTAGTGAAAATATTTGCTATATATTAAGCAAACGGAAATCACATTACAGAAGAAATTGCAAATTAATTCTGAATAAATTGTGATGTAACGACAAAACAAAATTGAACCAAGTATAATTAAATGAACTATACATAGCCACTAACTATTTCCTGTAATGCACAGATTAATGATTTACATTTAAATGTTCTTTGATCTAATTAATTCTCTTTGTGGAAAGTTCTCCTTTAATTACAACAATTTCTGAAGATTGTTATAAATAATTGCAAAGGTCCAAATTTGGAAGTTATGTAACAAAATGATGATTCCATACTTCAAAAATAATGTTCCGCATAACGAGAGACATATTTATCCAATAATGATAAGATGCTGATGAGAAGAGC